AACTATCGTGGCTAACGAAGGAGCCGAATCTTATTCTTATGAAGGAACTATTCTTGAAATATGAAAATAAAACAACACAAAGAGACAGATATCACGGAAAAATATTTAGGTCCGCATTTTAACTAAATTGATTTTATCAAAATTCTTTCAAGAGAGAGATATCTGTATAATTAAATTATATATAAAATAACAAAAATTTCAAAATATTAATTTTTTTTCTATATAAAGAAATGTATAAACAACGTAAATAAAACGTACTCTTGAAATCTCAGCCATCAAATATTTTTCCGCAGTCAAAAGTAGCAAGATTGAAAACTATAATTGTGAAAAGTAAGTAATGCATACAAAAGAACAAAGAGAAAGCGCGTTTATTATTTATCACAATTTATTTATATTTTTACAAGTTAGTCATTAAACAAAGTTAAAGAGAGGAACAAAAATAATGTAAGAAAAAGAAAATATTAAAAGTAACGTATTTTCGAGGATAAAAGATGGTGCGGGCAGGCAAATATATAATGAACATGTAGGGTAGTCTGTTTTAAAGAGATATTTCGAAATCGAATTTCAATCTCATGTACATATACGGGCAATTTATAAATCCGAAAAAAAATGTTCTAGCCTCAATTGAGAAATCTGCGTGGTCATAAGTGTTTCCTCAAATATTATTTTCTCAGATATAAATAAAAAAGCTTCAATAAATTATCTGGATAAGTCGAGGAACACACATATTTATTTTAAATATATTATAAAACGTTTTATTCTTCGTTTATTACGAAATATTTAACATAAATTAAGCGCTTTGTATGTGTAGGCTGTGATCTTTTAATTAAAATGATATAGCTTATTGTCCTATGTAAAAGTTTAATTTAAAATTTAATGTGAAAATTTAATTTTGCGTAGGATTTAAAGGATTCTTATTGATCATATAAGGCTGAATAAGAACAAAATTTTAATTTAAATATTTCTGTTGGTAAAATCAGCTGTCTGTCCACATTTCGCAATTGTACAACACGGATTACTATGTAGACATTTTTTCTCCCATCAGATTTTCCATTTTACATTCCTCGCGCACGATATCATTAAAATTATTTGCTCACGAACGGGGCGTTTTTCGCAAAACGCTGACCGAGCTGCTCTTTTGATCAGAGATGAAATTTAGGAAATCTTCATCTGCAAATCAACCTGCCTTTGAATTTCCATCCCGCTTTCCGCCAATTCAAACGACATCAGAATTGCTCTTTCCCTCTCGACGTTCTTTTCACGATACGACATCCGTTTTCCATCTTCGCGAAAAACGAATCTCTGATTAAAGGGATGATCCGTAGCGAATGGTAAAAGCCCGATGAAACTAGTATTATCAATCGTTTTAAAAAGAAACAGATACGAGCCAATATTTTTTGAAGGCAAAAGAACATAATTTTTATCTTTACGTTAATAGTACTTGAATAATAAAACTGAAAATTGTAAAAAACAGTATTGATTATATAAATTTTCGTTGCATAAAACTAAATTTCAATTTCAGCGCCATGAAGTTCGCAAATGCCGTAAAAAGCACAAAACAGCATAGGAAACGGCATCGAAGAATAAAATATGTATATATCCGAGTCTATGCAAATTTTGGATTTTTCCTGCACCCGCGGGCGTGCGAGGAATCGAAAGAGCTCGCATAAAATATAAAAAGAGGACTCCTGGAAATTGCATCGACAGTAAACACGATTTTCCGTTATCCCGCTATAAAATTTGGATTCCCTCTCTTACTTCGATCGCAGAAATCATGACTGACCGTGTAGGAACTGGACAGCGTTGCCAAAGCTTAAGTCCCGTATTCGCGAACTAGAGAATATTAAGGATTATTATCTATGAGCAGTTGATGTCATTTTCTGATCTTATCTCATGTTTAGTAACAAAAAATTTTCGCTCTATTTTTTTACAACAATAAAGTTGGATCGAATATTTCGAAATCGAGTGCGTTAAAAATTAACTGAGTATTTTAATATTTCCGTATACATAAAATGCAAGGAAAATGTACTACAATACATTGGCATGATTTGCAGAAAACACGAAACATCGTTCATCATTAATAATAATGAGTAAAATTTAATTTCCGCCATCGTTAAAAAAATAACAATATAAAGTAAAAAATAAAATAACATCCGTTCGACAAGCTCTAATTTCGAAATTGCAAAATTGAGTGTTGATGCAAAAGCTTTTGACCGATTTTCACATCACTTGACCGATATAATACGGATCGGATCCTGAGATTAATGCGTTCGAAAGCATTTTTTGTCCGCGATTGCATTCAAAAGCCATCCATTAAAGTATCAGCGTATTTCGAAAAATCACAAACGTTTCACTCACAGAACATCACTCCGAAAGAGACATTTTAGTATTGCGCGACTGTAGCGTCGATTTAATTTCACTACCACTCGATATTCCCTTTTTCGGATTGTTGTCCAGTCTTTCAGGGACGCATCAATTTCAAGAATTCCTAGATGTTACGAAAATCCAATATCGATCGTGTTACTTACGATTTTTGTGAAATATTAATTAAACTGATCATATTCGCTTTATATGATTATAGTCACTTTAAAAACATAGAGAATTTTGTGTGATTTCTCAATTGAAGAACAATAATAATAAAATTCGTAACTTTTTCATGCATTGTTTCAAATCGATGTTGATAAATCGCATATGCCGTTCCACTTGTTTGGGTTTCATTGAAAATTTTACATAAAGTTGGAGTATCCAGAAATAACAGTATATCGATTGTAATTCGATTTCTGGCTTGTCGTGCGCAGATTTCGCAGTTAACTTCTGATTTGTGGCCTACAACTTTCGACCAAACATGATTGGATTCCGCGCCGCGATATAAATCGTAAATTCTAGAAACGAATCCTCGTAGTGGCGGATTCTCGATGGCGAAAACTTCCTCCCGACTCGATAACTCGTTGACGATCGTTCCTCGATAAAGAAAAATCGCTCTGTCAACTCGCCGCGAAGCTTCGGCTTTCCCGTTGAGTTTCCCGTTTATCCCCGCAATCGAAATTTCTACAAAGCGCGCGCGCACGCGATCAGCTTTAAGCTCGCAATAGAACGTATCCGCCGGTGTCTATCAAGACTCCCCCGAGCAAAATGATGGTGTCTAAAAAGTGTTCAGAAAATATCGGGTCGTTTAACGGCGCGGTATTTTTATCGCCGTTGAGTCAGCTAAGCGCTAAGGACGTCGATTAATTACTTACAAATCTGCCGACCACGCGATTTTTAATTATCATATTTAACAATGTTTGAGCAAGTTTCGTGTCGAAAAATCTGACATATCTGTATCTCTGCGAGACAGAATGTAGATTGGACGAGCAGCGTTGTTAACTGTGGCAACTTTTTTTTTTTCAATTTAGATTAATTAAAATAATTAAAAACATTTCTGCCATTAATGTCGGAATATGCAATATATAATTTTCGGTCTTTTTTAACCGTAATTTTACGTTAAGAGTGCTAAAAGCTTGATAGTCTGTTGTACGTATTATCTCGTTAATAAAAAGAAATGATATTATTTCCCAACGTAAACTCCCGCATACACGGTCACCATCGTTGATCTTAATAAAGCCCGAAGCTCACAACGCGCGCCCAAGATCTACACGCAGCCTCGTGTATCCCGTCCCCAACTGTTTACATAGGCAGCCGGAGAACCTCCCTGCAGCTCCTAGTTTCGGCAGTGCTGATAGCTCACCGAATACCCTATCCACTTTGGAGGGACGCGGAGTGCTTATGAAACGTGGAGAAAGGTGTTCAGGACAGAATGTAAGAGAAAGCTGGCAGTCAAGGGGATGTTGAGGAGATATTAGAAAACAAATGGGATACAAGCCGACAAGCGAGGGAGTGACGAGAGAGAAAGAGGAAAGGGAGAAGAGTGAGAAAGAGAGAGAGGGAGGGGGAGGAAGAGAGAGAAAAAGAGAGAGAGAGAGAGAGAGAGAGAGAGGAGAGAGGAAGGCGAGAGAAAAACCGTTTCCCCCTTGGAACACGTTGGAGCCACTCCGTCTATCAAAATCGACGACGTGGCGAATCTCCGAAGTGGATTGCAGCTCTCTATCGGATGTATTATAAGTTACGCGAGGCAATTTTTTTCAGGACCGACGGGAGAGACAGGTCGCGAGACCGAATCTCGCGAATGGCAGTTGCGCGACAGCTCCCTGTTATATTTTTGTCTCGTACAAAAGCTTCACGCGGAGAATCACACATGCGAAGTCACGAGGCGCTGTCACGTACGGCGGGGCTTCGATCAAAGCGCTAAGCAGAATTGGGCATAAAATCACGTCGCATCGGCGCCGCGTCGATTCGTTCGAACTTGCTTAATCCGAGCGATCGAAGAAGCGAGCGCAATTTTAATTCCGTTCTCTCGGAAAATTTAATTGGCGCAGCTGCCTAGATCGTGGGACCGAAAGAGCGCTAATGCAATGGCAAAGCAATGGAAAGTGACAGAAGAGAGAACGGCTGTTGATGCATCTTTAACGCTTAGTTCAGCCGCCTAGTTCAGGGCACGTTTGATACGATTTCTTCGTATCGGTTGAACAAAACATAAATTCAAGTTGCCGCTTTTAAAGTTGAGTAGACGCCAAGTAGAAATGCGAAGGCTTAAAGAGTCACACTTATAACAGCCTTGCGATTAGTTGCTCATTCGTATAAAAATCAAATAATTCCAGAACACGTTTATTATTTACCCAGTTTCTGCTCGCGGAGGAAAAGGACGCCACGAGGAACCGGCGCTATCAATCCGAACGTCCCGAAAATCGCGCATAGCTCCACGAAGTATAATAAATACGCTTTGCATATATTTACAAGCATGCGTCCGTAGAGTTACGGCTGCAATCGCAGCAACTGTATCGAGGAAAGTTTGGTTGGAGAAAATGATGGACTCTCGATGCTTCATTGCGATATCGTAAATATTATTAATTTTTCATCGATTTTCTTGATTTTAACGTGGAATCTGCTGTATTTACTTTTCATCTCGCTTGTCCTATTACCGAGGAAATTTACTTTACATTACTTTAGGGAGACGCTTACCATGAAAGATAGCGCGTAAAAAGCAAAACGACGTTAACGGGTTGAACAACATGCAAAAATCACGTTACTTCGTGTCCGTCGAGTGAATTTACAGCGCTGAATTTCCCGCGAGATTTTATGTCAACAATTCCACCTCGCGTACAAAGCTTCTCGCAAACAGAACTCCCGTTCTATGCATAATTCTGTCCAAGTTTTTCTAATACGCGCCTTTCGCTATGTTTTCCTTTCTCAACGAAAATGTGACAGAGAAAGAAAGCATAATCTCTTCGGTAATCCCGATAGGACGCCAATCGACGTTCAAATTTCGCGTCAGAGGATAAAATCGCTTTCGACGGGAAATCGAGAGTTCATCACGCACTTCGGAAATCAAAATCCGCGTACTTCCTGCCGCGTAGCCGTCGGGTTCCCCGTCCCATCCTTCTCGCGACAAGCTTCGATCAGTCAGAAGCCATCCCTCGTACCGACGACGCCCCTCTTGAAATACAGTGTATTGTCACGGTAGAAGCGTCCGGACGTTTCGTGTCGGCCACGAGAGAGAGAGAGAGAGAGAGACTCACTTCCTCGCGCGACACAAACGAATTCAGCCGAGGACAATTCTAGCGCGACGCGCGTTGGCGAGGAAATCGTGCGTCCTCGATCGAGACAAATGCTCCAACGGAGCTGCGGGATCCTCAATCTTAACGTCCATCTCTCAATTTCTTCGTTTCTTTCCCAGGAAGAGGAGGGACAGGCGATAATCGCGAAAAGCCCCCTCCCTAGATCCCCCCTCGAGACAATAGCACCGGGCGAGGAGGGACGAGAGTGCTCTTCGTTTTCTACTCCCCCACCAATATGCGTGTCATAAATGTATGAAAGTTTTACGAATCACAAGGGCGCATCAGGCACACGACGACGTCAACGTCCACGCGGCCGCCCGCGCGAAAGTCCCCGCTTGACGCGAGTCACAGTATCGGGACGCGGGCCGTCGCGGGATGATCGAACGCGGCCCGCTGTCATCATGAACACCTACACGTTCCCGGCCCCGAGCGGCCTATCGTCACGTCGCAGGCCCACGACGACGTCGTCGTCGTCGCCGGGACGACGGTCGCCTGCGACTCCGCGGCCGATTCGCTTCGATTGTCCGAGGCTGGCCAGCTGGTGATCAGCTCCTGCCAGCCAGGCACGCCGGTCAGGTAGGCTAGAAGGAGTAGTATGAGGCACCCACCTAGGCACCCGCCGCCTCCGGCCTCGAAGGTGGCGCAGCCGCTCGTCTGGTTCTCCGTCGTCGGCCTTTCCTCCTGATGTGAGACCCGGTCCATCTGCTGGCTGCCCGTCCACGGATCGCCCTCGGCGTCGACGACATTGTGCCGGGTGTCCGGGGCCGCGTTGTTGTGGATCGTCTCGATCACCGGCGGCACCGGCTTGTCCCTGTCCAGCTCGTCGTCCAACTCCACCGAGGTCTCGGTGCCGAACAGTACCAGCTTCCACTCGTCCAGCGTGCCTGCAACATTATCGCCTTCTACATTGGCGTCGGCCAAATTAGTTGAGTGCGATGACAGATGAATCGTGCAAAATGTATTACATAAATTAAAGTGATCAATTAAAAATTCGATACCCCGAAAGTGTCAGAGATTATTTATTAAATTATTTATTATTCATTAGATAATAATATTTCTTTATGTAACTTTTTTTTTCTTATCTCTGATACTTTTTATGCGAGTAATGTTTAATGGAAATGTATTTTATGTGGAGCGCCAAAATAATAGCATATGGAAAATACAAGCTTGTCGAATTCAATTTTAAATAGAGAATGGGCTGAAAACACATGTTTATGAAACTGATATCGTGTAACAATCACATGAAATAATAACTATCTCTACTGTTATTTTCACATTAAATACACATGCAGACACGAATACAGTCCACTCCAGTGAATTTTACATGCTATACGTACTGCGGTTCCTGAGAACAGAAATACAAACCTCGCAACATATCCATTTCCATGAATGAGTTTCTGATGGATAGAGATTTGCTGTATTATTCCATGCAGTACAAAAATATGACTTTATATTATATTACATTAAATTAATATAAAATGTATTATGTTACAATAAGTTAATATTTCTCAAGCGAAACAAAATTTACACTGTAATAAATAATCATAAAACGTAAAATCACATAATTATTCGTGATCGTTCGACTGGCAGATGTATTACATTTTTTATCTATCTATTCAACGACGTGTTTTCGCAAATTGTTCCACGATCTTGTCCGCAATATCTTACAGCGTAAGATATTGAATCTCGTAGAAGTGAAAGCGGTAAAATAGTAGAGGTTTCATGAGACAGACGAGACGCGAGCGAGACAGTGGAGGAGGTCGACGGCGGGAACGTCGGCGGCGCCGTCGGGAAATTAATAAAGCGTCACGGTGCCGTAGGGAAAATTTCGTCCTAAGCTCGCTCGCGGGAACAATGCTTGCGTGGAAAAGAGAAACGCACGAGACGAAGAGTTTCGGGATCTTGATTAAATTAGAGTTAAAAATAACCGAGTAATCAGCGACGACTCTTCGCATGCATTTATTCAGCGGAATGTATACGTCGAAATTAAACGCGGAGTGCTTTGGAACGGGAGGACGGTAAGAACTCGTGAACGATTATCGTTTTTAACGTTGAGTAAGATACACCTGTATGTTCTCATCGCGGACAAGATGGAGAAGTAAGCTAAGCGGAAGCTAATTTTAAATATTGCCTCCTGGCTAGCCATTAAAAATTGATGCAAATTCCTTAGCCGTTGATTTTTCATATACCGCAGCAGTCTGCAGACTGTTAATCAAGAAGCAAACTCGAAGGATTTATTAAAAAATAAAGATATTATTCATTTTTAATCATAAATAGTAAAATTACAGTTTGATTTTAACATCGAAACATCCTATTATTCATCGCTCCACGACTGTGTGTAAAAAGTATTAATTCTCTAAAAAACAAACTGACTTTTTTCTAGATATTAATATTAATGATTACGTGAATTCAGAAAAAGTAAAAGGTATACATAACGTTAAATGAAATTACCTTCGCGAGAAAAGTTATATTTTACAGACAGGCGCGATAGCGAATGTACGACCAGAAATCAAAGTAGTGAAAAAAACGAATCCAATTTGTCAAGACCACTTTCGCGTGTGTATTTTTTTGTCGGTGTCCGTTTACTGGTCGTCGCCTGTAATAAAGTCGTCGTTAAAGTGCCACTGTTACGCGGGCGCAAAGTGGCTGTAAAGTGTCAGGCGTCGCGACGCCCGGACGGCTGTCGTTTTACGAGAAGTATCGAGAAAATAACCTGTCAGCCGGGAAGGGAACTAAGGGGAAGCGAGAGAAAGAGGGGGGAGGAAGAGACAAAATATCAGAAGTCGATTTGGTGGCAGGCATGGCGGGCTACTCGTGAGACAATAAAACGTAAGGGTATTGTGTTCGAAGGGTCGTTAGCGCGCGCGCGCGCCATTGGAGAGTCTCGATAATAATGCCTTAAGAGCGGAAACCATTTTGCGGGGCAAGTGGGCGAAAAAAATTTCCAATCACGGCGGGAATTATTTAGCAGCGATGATGGACGAGAAGAACCGTCCGATCAACCGCCGTGATGGAGCTTCGTTTGTTCGCACGCTCGCTCACTCGCGCCGGCTTTTCCATTTCACGGCACGCATTAGCGGTTTTCAGTGTCGTTCGCGTCACGTCGCATTTCACTGAATTTTGAGCGATTTGTGGTTGCACGATGATCTAGAATTCGAGAATTCGAGGAAAGGAGATAACGAGCGCGACGCGCAATAATGAACACCATCGTGATTTGTTGGGTTCGCGAATTTGCGCCGCATCACCGCTGCCTCGGAGAAAGCAATTTTGGAATTATTAATCATGACATTTCTATCATCGTGAAAATCGTGAGATTTCCTGAATTCAATAATGTTGAAATTGTGAGAAATCACGTTACGAAATGAAAATAGAAAATGCAAAATATTAATTTTGTAACACGGTTTCCCCAAATAATTTATTTCAACAGTTATTCGATGATAATAAATAAAGCGTTGGACATATTAAAATGCCAAACAGGATAGTTAAGAATATTATGTACAATTTTTTATTTTATAAACGGACAGTGGAAAGTGGAATATACCATTTTCCACGAAAGACAATGATCTGCGCTTCGCGTACGGGAATAATAGGATACAAGCCAGTACATGCACGCGATGCATCAGATAGCCGACATACACGGATGCACTCGCGGCTGCACACGTAGTTCATCGATAACCAAGTCATTGGAAGTTTTGATTGAAGACCATAGCGCGCACGTTACCGGCCTCACTAAGTTTTCCTATTATCGACCTGCCGTTTTCGTAAGAGGCTTCGATTAACAGGAAGAAGCAATACAAAAATATTAATATAAAGAAAACACTATATATCTAATAAAAAAGAAATGGTAAGACTACACAAAAATCTTTTTTTGAATATACGTTGTTTATCAGAAATAAATATCTTTCCAGAAATTTGGCGGATTAAAATTTGACGGTGAATACTTTACAATGAAAAAAAAAAACAAAATTTATAATATAATCAATGATTTACACAATACATACATATAAAATCTTCAATCTTATCGTTGACGCATATCAATGACACATAAAAAGAGTGCAGTAATAAAAATTAAATTGATTTATTAAACATAAAGAGATATGAATAAAAGAGAAAATTTAATCAAAAATATCCAGTTTTTGCTTTTATTCATGCACACCAATCATGCAAATGTATAATGTGCAAATTCAATTCAAATTTTAATTAAAACTTAATTAGAGCCAAAGTGCTTTTAAGCACAGTTACTTTAAACTACCTAAATACGTGACAGATATCACACAACGCAAGAAATTTCACTTACGACATTATTTAGATCCATCTAGCGAGCTACAGTATCTATATCGTAGCACAGCACATATATAAGGTGTTACGCACAAAGTGATCCGATGCATAATCACACAAAAAGTATTATAAACAAAACGGAATATTATAGAAAAATAGGAAATTTTTATTTTTAATTAAAAGCGAAAAGAAGTAAATTTCATGGAAAAAATCTTCGTCTTTTTCTAAAATATGCCGGATCACTTTGTGTAAAATATTTTGCATTCGAAATAAAAGATACGTGTAGATATATAATGCGAAATAAAATGCTACACGCACGATATATACAAACAAAAATAACGGTGATTACGGCGGTGATCACAATATCAGCTAAATACAAAAGAAGAAACTACGAAAACCAAATTTCAACGAATTCGCTTAATCTTCAGAGCTTTGCATCTCTACTTTCCACATTTTCGCGTGAACGTGCGAGCACACGCGTGGAAGCGAATGGGAAAACGATCGGAAGCTACGAAACGATCCTCTTTGTTGTCCTACAAAATACAGCCGTTGGATAACAATAGTGTTGATAGATTGACGTTATTAGTCGCTTCACGTTTTCGTTTATCGCGTAACGCCATATTTTTCACAGGGCGGATATTTCATCAATTGTGTCTCGGTATAGATTTATCGCATTACTATTACACGAGCACAGATATTTAATCCTTTAGATTCGATTATCAAATGCGCAGCGACAGAGACAAGTTATTTTGCGATATTTTAAAATAATGAAAATTAACTAAATACACAAAAAAGCATATAAAAATGCTTCACATTTTATTAGATTTTAACGTAATGTTAAATTAAATTAAATGCTGCACATTTAATATAAAGATTGCAGTATTTAATTAAATTAAATATTTCATTAGATTAAATATTGCAGTAATATCAAAGAGGAATTTACGAAAGGAATTAATCGACTTTGTTAAAGCTGACTAAATCGAAAATATTAATGATCTTTTCGCGTGAATGATAAACCAGCTTCCGATCATCGCCATTGAACAATCCGCGCGCGTCGCCGCGTCCCGTTTAAAGGCATCAAGGTACCCTTTTCCAGCTGCAAGTTCTTCTGCAGATCGAACTGCTCGTCCTGCAGCACGTCGTGTCCCTTGGCCCTTGTGGCGTGCTGCTGGCCGGCGCCGCGAACACCGCCATAAACCGGATAAAGCTGCTGGATCTTGGGGTATTGCTGGAATACCGCCGGGACTTTATTAGTGGCCGCCTTTGCCGGCGGTTCCAGCAGGATCAGCCTCGTCTGGAGTGGGGAAGCGGTCACCGGGTCGACGATCCTGTATCTGCTCGTCACCGTAGTCTGCGTCTTCGCGGTCGTGATTACTTGGATCGCCGTGCTGCTGGTGATCGGACTGGGTGTGCTTCGGCCGCGCGGCCTCGACGTGATCAGACGCACGTCCGCGCTACGTTGTTCGGCCCTTTGTTCGCCGTGCCGGTGAGACCGCGCAGGGTCTGCACGGTGGGCTTCGGGCTCGGCCGACTGGCCGATTTGCCATTTTTGTGCTGGCCGCGTGCCTTCCCCTTCCGTTGCGACGGTATCGGAGCGTTCACCACGTAGGGCGGACTCAGGCTGCCGGACTTGTCGGACTTGTGCTGCGCCTGTTTGCCCTTCGCCACGGCGTTCTGGCTCTTCGAGTAGACGGTCTCGCGCGGCTTGACAAACGGTCGTCTAAACACGGCTGGGTTGTAAAGCGCGTACTCGGTGCGGTCGGGCAGCGTCGCGGTGCCGTAGAAGATCAATGCCCATTCGTGCAGAGTGGCGCGTCCTGATGCGTCCAAGAGAATGCAGCGGAAAGAAAGTGGACGTCACAGTTAAAAAAAGATGTAACGCAACTCACTGGCGTACCGAGCGCCATGGAGTACGTCGGGAGTCAATTAAGCGATAAAAGATCGGTCAGACATTCGTCGATAAATTCGTCGGTGCTTCGGAGCAGAAGCTGTAACGCGAGACCGCGCGTCGTTCCTTCAACAAGGAAGATCAACGAGAATATCGAGAAGGTCCTCGTCGTCCGATAGCAGATAAGCGCCGTCGCGTTCGAGGACGACAAGATACATATACAGGGTACTTGCGACAGTATAAACACGACGGGATGGTTTAGCAACGGCCGGAATATTCCGCAACGTTGCCCATGGCGGATACGCCATGCGGTATATAGATCGAGAATGCATAAGGAAGTTTACGTAGCCATCCGCCTTGATGAGGCAATGCGGAAGCAGTTCAAAGTGCTGCTTTCAATGCTCGCATCTTACGAGCCGGCAGCGATCATTGCTCCGCAAACGAAACATCCCGCAGCTATTTGCCGTCGCAGGTGAGCGAGAGAGAGAGAGAGAGAGAGAGCTGGCGCGGACGGGCTGCAGCTCAAATCCGGTAATTATCCGCCGCCGAGGATAATGCAGCTTCTTAAGTGATCACACGTGAATGGGGCTTAAGCGAGAGCCCTCCCGACGGCGTCCCAGACACGAGCCCAGGCTGCGAGAATTCTCTCCGCGGATCTCGACCGCGGATCTCGACCGAGCACCGACTCGGCGTCGCAATGCGGAATGCGCATGCAATGCGAGACATGTTGAAGCCATTCCGTATGGTTGTCACGCGTATGAATGGATTAATCGCTTCGTCACGTGATTTGTCTTCGCAATCGCAGAAGGAGGCGACGGAGATTGCTAGAGACGTTTCCGAAAAGTGGATTTCTTTGACGCATTATTCCTCCTCGCGTGAGCGAGAAAATGCGAGCAATTTCTTCTGAGCACTTGCAGCACGAGTTCAACTGACAGGTGCAACTGGCAGACAACTTAGTAACCGTGACCTTACATGGCGATGCCGCTAAGATGCTTAGAAACTATTGTTGCACCGAACAACATGGCGAATCCTATTTGAAATTTAGATGAACGAAGGACATCTCCGGATGCTGCAACTAATGCGGCATAATCTCCGGCAAAGCGCATTGTCTTTGACGTTTGAATCTAAGAGTACATCGCGCGAGCGCGTAATGGCGTTCGTATGAATACCGCGCTCGACAGTGACAGATATGCGGAATAAAGATTAGAAAATTCCTAATCTTAAAAGCAAGAGGACTTTCTTTCATTAAAAACATTAGAATAATAAAGTTCCCAAAATTTTTCGACTAATTCAACTGCTCGTTTCAGCAATTTTAAAACTAATTAAAATTACTTAAAATTAATTTTTCCACGGAAAAGAACTATTACCTAATAGTTTAATGAATAAACGACGTTATTTTTTTCTGTATTAATCTTAACAACGAATAATTTAGTCAACTAATTTTACGGAATTGTTTCTTCATTTTATTATTTTTTATTACTATCATTTTATTTCAATAATCGATAGGTAATATTAGTAATAATTATTAGCAAAAACCATGACACCGAAAATGCAGATAATCTCGGTCAATATTCCATTAATTAGTTTTGAGTATTCAATCGCTCGTTAGTGAAGCATTCTTCAGTGATTGCGCGGCAACGCGAAATACAGTAGCAAAACACAATAATGGCACAATCAACTTACCGAGATATCGGCCCTCATTGTGAATTTCCAGCTTCCAGGTACCATGCGGCCTCTCTCCCCACGTGTGTACCGACATGAATGGCCATTGGCTGAAACCGGCCTTCGAAACGTCATGCGGCCTCTTGGCGAGAAGAGTGCTCTTCGTGCCCTGAGGAGATGTTAGCTGTATCTGGAGATCCCCTCGTCTTGCTGCCATCAGCGATACCTTTGCCTGCGACAAGCGTATCATTACGCCGTTATCGCCTATCGCGTGCATGCTTCGCGCGTGTGTTATTAACATTTACAATTTGATACGCTATAATATGCGCGCCTCAATGCACAATTTTTACGCGAGTCAAAATCAAATTGGCGTGATAAAATGATCCGCCTTTAATAATTTAACGCACGCATCTTATTCTTCTAATTAATTAATCGAAAAAAATGAGAAAAGAACGCGGATTTTATAAGATAATTTTGCGCCGTAAAATTAATAATTCTATAAGAGTAATTAACTTGTCTCATTTAGTCTCCTTAATACGATTGGGCACAGTCTAGTAATCACACTGGCACAGATGCAGTCGTTAATATAATTTAAGGTAATTTGATGAGGATCAAGTAACTATTTAGCATGAGTTATGGTCCAGTTATTCATAAAATAAAACTGCGACGAATAAATTGATTACTTGATTGATACTCGAGCGGGAAGTGAATAAAATTCTACCAATTCGATGTCAAACAGAGGAAACATCAGCCTTGAAATGGTTTGCGGATTGCAATTCGAATCCGGTAATTATCCTCGTGTTCCACGACTGATGCACGATTCACTAATTAACAATAGTGATGCACGATTCACTAATTAACAATAGTGATGCACGATTCACTAATTAACAATGTCACGTGTGAGCGATGCGCTCAACTTACCTGAACGTGCTCGAGAAAATTAACACCGCTGCATTCCTTGACATGTAAGTCGAGAGTCAACTGGCTCTTCGGCGGTATTGACCTAGAAAATAGACAAAATCCAGGTCAAGTGCCGAAATGGTGAGCAAAATTTTTCGCAAATTATTTTTAAGCGGATACACTTTCCCGTCAGTTAAATTAGCTCTCCAGCAACTCGGTCAATTATTTGTTAAATACTATTATTACCTCGAACGGTGTTATTTCATATATGCGCTTTTAGCAATAATCCGATACTTCAGTATAGTGCAAAAAAAGAAACAATATAATTTCAGTATAAATTTAGTATAAAAATGTAAGTATCGGTAGGCCTAGCAGTTTTTAGAACTTATATTTTCTTCAGTGCGATGCATTTAAATGTTTTAAACAATAATATAATCTTTATCTTTTATCAAAATCTTTATGATTATAAAGCTTGTTTATTAAACAACGAGTATCGTTTTAATACGGCGAAATAAAGAATTGAATCGTGCTAATCACGATTATTTATTCGCATTATAGATTCTCAGAATTTTATTGTACGAAAAATTGACCACCACTTTTATTTTCCATAAATTTTTCAGGGAACTTTAATTTCGAGATAGTCACGTAAATAGTATCCGTGCGAAGCGAAGTGTCTGTTCTCACTCGTTACAGCTCTTGACAGTGTAAATGGCGCATTACACGTAGTTTCCGTGCAATTTCAGACGAGTAAAGCTCGCTTGAACGGATAGCCGACATGCTCGAACGAATCTGTAATCTGCGAGAGGCATGTTTGCTTCCCCAAGGGGCAGGTAGCGATCTATACGGTTGAATCAAATCTCGATTCCTTTCACTTGCAAGCATGTTTTTTAAGACCGATGATATTCTTTATAAAGTCGATTTTCTTCAAGTATCGATACTTAAGTAAAGAACGCCAATTTTTACGTTAGATGCCTTTCTTCGGTGAATAATCTCCGAGCACACTTACCTGCCTGTATGCGGCGCCGATACTTCGCATTTGTGTTGCTCAGGAACGGTTCTCCATCTTCTCGCTAAACGTACCATAGCAGTGGCGTCCATCAGCCCGTAACCGAAACTGTGGCTCACTATTTAAACACACAGAGTTGACCGCGATATTCAATTTTTGTGTCGATTAATTTTTTCAGCATATATTTTTAGGTCAATTAAATACACAAAAAATATCAATATTAATCAGTTACATGAGTCTTTCTTCTGTGAAAAATTCAAACTTTTGCAATTCCATTATCTCTTCTTCATTATTACGCGCTTCTATTCATTTCTATTATAATGAAAACAATTTTTTTCTAGATCGTTAATCTTTGAAAAGGTTTTTTTTCTCTGTGGTGCAGTCACTCACCATTTCTGCCGACACCGTTGACTACCCAATCAGGCGCCTGAAGGTTCGCGGGCTTGGCCGTCCGTACTACGATGTGCTGCATATCTCGCCAGGTGAGATCCCTATTCGCCTCTAGGGCAAGGGCACAAATGCCGGCTGCCAACGGCGCCGACGCGGAGGTGCCGGTGTGGCTGAGAGTGCAGTGGTGATGCAGATCTGTCGTGACGACTTGCCTCTCGCCGGTCGAGCCTGAGCTGTACGTGGTTGCGAGAGTGGACGAGCAGGCCTCGCTGTACCACGGCACGAGGCCGTTCTCGGTCGCGCTGCTGATCGACAGGGTCCAAATGCTGTTGGTGTAGCCGTCGCAATTGCAGTTGTCGTGATCGCGACCACCGTTTCCGGACGCCCATACGAAAATCGAGCCTTTGCCGTTGCGACCCTAAAAGAATGCGGGCATTGATTGACGTGATTAGACTTGGTGCCGCTTTGAAATATTGAAACGGGTGGTTTTATGAAAATCTATCGGAAGATAATCTCGCCTGAGTAAAGTTAGGCTGCGCAGCTTAGACTGCTGAATTTAAGAGGCGTATTCAGCGCTTCAAGCGTCAAACTAAAGTGAATCTGGGCTTACTGCTTTTTAGATACTTTAGACGTGGTCGGTTCTTTTTTTTTTTTACTGGTACTTGACTTTAAGACGCTCGGAACGCTTAAGGCGCTTTAGAAGTTTGAGACACTTTGCATGCTAAAGCCGCTTTCTGGGCGCCCGAAGACACATAGCAGTGGATGATTCGGAACGAAACCGTTATTAGAAACCCAAGATTGGGTGTTTAGTATTAATGATCTTCGTAGAATCGAAACTAAATTGCCTCAAAGTACGTGATTTCCTTTATATGTAACGTCAAAGATTAAAAGGGGAGTTTTGGAAATCAAGTTTTCGGTCCTCGACAAGCTCTGGAGCGAAGTAATGATTCGTAGAAAACGTGACCGATTACTGAGAAAGAAATTCCAGTTCGTCGAGAAACTAGCAATCAATGTAATCTTTGAAGCAAAGGCAATAATTACGAAGTATAAATATATAGTATAAATATTTATAACAATCGTGTCATTTTATTAGATATTTTTCATTACAATTTGCATTTAATAAGAAAGGGATTAAAAAATATCCTTACAATAAATATAAATTTATTGTAAGAAGCAATGTATCATAATAATTTTTATATCGTTAATAATTATAATAATTTTAATTAATAATTATTAATAGACAAACTTTCTTAGTGAATATCCGCTTTTTTAATAAATACTGGCTCATTATTATCATGTGCAAAATTTATGTTGAACAATATTTTCAAAGCTTGTATGATAATCTTTGTGGCATGTACAGCAGTGTATTGTTTAGTTTTACAGAAATTACAGGTGTTTACTTTATCGGAACTAAAGGTCTGGCTATCTTCTGATAAGACCGGGTTCCGCGTTTTCATGTACATGTAGGCGTGACCACGAACTCTGAACTCTCTTTGAGACGCGATGTTAACTAATTCAGTAATATAGTAACTCGAGCCTTTGATCAGTAAGGCTATTTGATCGTAAAGTGATAAGGCACCGGCTGCATTAGGCGCCTAGAGTTAAGAAACCGACGTATACGATATTTATAAAAATTGACTATATAAAAAATCATTATAATACATTACATTTTAGAATACATTTATCCCGATTATATTCATCCCGATAAATATCTAATAATATTTTTTTTAATTTTTTGCAAATATATTTGCCGCCTTACTTTATTTATTATTTCGATCAGAAATCATTATCTTGCTTGATTTAAATTCATTACGTATTACAAAGAAATCGGATACGCACAGCTTAATCATTTTGACGTAAAGCGCGCACATAACTCACGCAATTCTAGCGACTACGCACGAAACGCGAGCCCTCTAGTTAGTCACGGATATGTTGACCAAAGGGTAAGATCATCGAATCTGTTAACAGACCCCAAAGAGAATTCTCCAAGTTAGTCCGTACATATTCGCTTCTGTCGAATATAAGATGGCGCATAATCTGATACGCGCGATTACAAAGGAAACTGTCGTCGTATTAAATATTCATTATATACAATTGCGCGCTAAGTCAAATCGCCGCGAGAATAACGCAACGGCGCGATATAATCAGTACAACTTGTATTTTGGTCGCATGAATATAGAATGATGTAACATAAGCTCATCGCATTTTGTGAGATAAAGTATCAAGCATTACGATAAAGTATTCATTAAGTTAAATAACTGAAATATCCATTAAACGGTTCGTTAAGGAAGAGCAGCTTAGCTTAGCTGGTAAGGAGCCTATATTAATCCTCACGGCTTAGGTTCATATTCAGCGAATTTTCAAGTATTCTATATTACGTGCAATTTCTATCCAACAGTAAAATACTGCGCTACTGATTTATTAATACAATACAGATTCTATTAATCTTGATAAAAATAATGCAGATTTCCAAGATAAAAGAAGTTTAATTCTGATTCATTTAAACTTTTCGGTGATCTTCCCAACTTCTGATTTACCGCCAGCCATAAAGACTTTTATTTGTGTGCAGATAATCAAAATCGATTCCCGAGAATACAAACGTCGACTTTGAATTCTATCACGCGAAATATCTTAAAAGGGATCACGAGATAAGAGCACAATCTCGACTAGAACGATGGCCATTTAATATTGCTGAAAGGGAGAAAAAGATTCAAGCGTTGTTCATTTCTCTACTCGTCACCCATTTATGTTCATCGGATACAAATATATAACTGAAACAATACGTTTGCGTTATTGCAATATTTAAAAATATAGCATAATATTACCAATATATGATTTAGATTTGTGTGTATATCGTGTAAAAGTTTTCTTCAATCGTTAAGCAATAGAATTCCCTGTTTAATGTTTCTACTTGTTCTTTCAAACATATTTTATCGTTTCATAAAATATAAACAAAAATTCAGCGCAGCAATTCGCTACCCGTCTCTCACTTTGGACTCTCGCCCCCATCTTTTATAAATTTCGGGAGAAGCGCACCTGCGACCATTTCTTCGATATGTTTCGCCTTACGGCTTTCAGTGAATTTTGTACCGACCATACTGACATTTGCATATGATTTACAGCAAAGTCGTCGAGAATAAGATTAAATTGGTATTACGTGCTAGCGCGCGCGGTTTCAGGCGGTCTCGCTGGTCGTTTAAAAGCACCCAATTAGAAACTTTCTGAGGACTGACCTTTCGCCGAAGTAGTCTATTAAACCAGCTCTAGCTGGAAGAGTTCTTCGTCGTTGCCGCTAATCGAATTACGTCTATCGTCCTGCCGTCGACGATTCCCGGCATCGAAGGAAATCAATCGCGCGCAGATGTCAAGACCGGCGATGAAGTGATAATCTTAGAGAATGTTATTAATATGCTATATCTTTCAACAATAGATAAATATTGTCTGCTTAATCTTTTTATACATTTTCCGACCATCTCGCCGTAAATAAATGTTGGGAAAAAAATGTTAAAATTATATCGATATCGACTGATCTCGTGCATTATTTTTTTTATTACGTCAAACAGTGCATCAATCGTTTTTTGTTTGCTGTATTATGCACCTTCAGCTTTTTTTTCACTCACTTGTAGTTTGTTTCCTTGGCACGCGTAATCATTATCTTTAATTTTTACTTACCGGGTATTCAATATAAATTTGTCTGATTTACTGTTACTGTTCTGAATACAATAGAATTACCTATCATAATTTGTCATTCGTTCTCTGATTCCTTAAAAAAATAATAGACAGTGATATCATGTAATCTGAAGAATTTATCATCAACGTTAGCACTTGTGATTCAAACTAATCTTGAAAAGAAGTTTTAGAGTAGAAAACAGCTTGAACTAAGAAACAGCCAACGAGAAACTTCAGTAATTATTGTCAACTATGACTATCGCAAGATGGAACGCGAGATCACGTGAATCATAGCAGAAATAGATATATTGAGGATCGCTGGAGTTTCTCGACAATCCGTGATGGCTCAGTTTTAGGTGTCTGCGCTTTAATGATCGTTACCTGAAGTAGGGTCCTTCTCAATGCTAAAGTTCGCTATTCTAGAATCGCGATAAAGGGACGCGTTGAGGAACGCGATCGAAGAGTCGGCTCCGTGCGCGAAGCGTATACATCGGAATGACAATGGCTATTGTCGCCGACGAAACTCGGAAGATCTGGGAGAATGCTTTCACGTGATACATTTGTGCGCGAATTTCATTTCGTCCCGCGATGCGTTTGTTCGGACACGAGCATACGAATTCCGTTTGACTCGGCGAGTTTTGCTTTCCGATGAGATGAAAAAGAAAGCGATTTAATCTCATGCGAGACATGCTTCTACATATGCACGCATTTTCTGTACACTTATTAAGATTTTGTCAAGGATTCTATCAATAACCGATGCAGCGTTAGTCAAAAACATTATTTCAGAAAAAATAGAAAAGAAAATTTAACGCTAAAATTATTCCGTAAATATTTTTTTAAGTGTCTTGTGACAATTAAAAAACGAATGTCTAAAGATTTTCTGTACTCTTTGAACAAATCTCGAAGAAATCCGTAATAGCGGAGATTACGGCATTTAAAGCAACTTCTTTCTGTCTGTTTAGTTCTACAAGAAAGGGCATTACTGAGTTAAATGTATTCCTTTAACGCGGAATATAAAAAATTAGTAGGACGATAATTGAACTTGCAGTTTGTTTTAACTCCAATCAGAAAAGCTATTAAATTCTCCTTTTACTCGCGAACAAAGGTTTAGACGGTTGCGCTGATGAATATAATTCCGAAGGAATTTGGATTCGTAGAAAAATCGTGAAAGATCAGAACGTGATCATCTAGTTACGCGCGAACAATCTCTCGCATTGGCATTTCAGTGCTGCAACGTCGTATTAAATACTTTATCGATCGGTCTTCGTTATTTTCGCGCTCATATTAATCTTCCGCGAGTCCGAGTTTTTAACGGACGAAGAATCTTCGATTAAAACCTTCAATTATCTTTTTATTAAAAATTTTCCATTATTTTAGTGAATGAGAGCTCCTGCAGCTCAAGTATTTCATTTGAATTTTATAGTTAATACTCCTTTATGCAACGCATTAACAGGGCATAAGCGTTGTAACGCAAAGCTTCAAAATCCCCTGCTGCTTGACACTCGAGAGTAAGGAAGCGTCTTGAAGCAACCTAGAAGCTTCCGTGTCGTACGGATGGGGGAGGGGGGTACCTCGTAGCTAATTGCATTTATCTTGTCATAGCACGGGAAATTATAGCGAAGAAAATTGCAGTCCTAAGTGGATTACGCTGCTACGTCGAAGTTTGAAGCTCTACGACATCCAGCATACTTTCTTCCAACTCGTCAAAGATGTAATAACGAAAAAGATATGGCAATTAAGATTATTATTAAGTGTATCTTTGGTGAGAACAATTTTTCAATTAGCAAAATGTTTAAATAATCCTTACAAGAAAGAGAAGATCTGTGGCTTAGAAATGTTTACAAAAATTTACAAAGTATTTCGATTTGAAGAGAATTATCTGCGAACAAAATTATTTTTCTCGCGAGGGATGCTGTTGATTCGAGTATCGAAATTAATTAGAAAAAGATCGGTGATATTTAATTAATCCGGTTCTCTCGTCTTTTTATTTAAGAAAAATATAAAAATATAAAATCTTGAAGGTATAACGAAACCTTAAAGTTTTAACGAAATTTTCCAATTGGTACCCATTTAAATACATTGAACGCGCAAAGTATACCGTAATAGAATTCTCTGATGACAAACACTTACCTTGGTAATGCCCTCGATAAAAGCTACTAGTGGCTAGTTCTCCGGGACCGTCTACAGTTTTGCCATCATCATCCGGTCCCCATGAGGCGCTGTAAATGTCGATGTGTTGGGGGTTTAAGCTCAGGGATCTTGCTTCAACGGCGTCTGTCACGTCGCCGTCTAGCATTCGAACGCCTGCATGAAAATGGAGTTATCAAAAATTAATAATCAAGATTACGATATAATGCGGGGAATCGAATCGGCGAATCGTTTCTTAAATATTTTATAATCACTCGCACTTACTTTATAATTCGATCAAAAGTAAGATACTATAGTATCTTACTTTTATATATACACTCATAAAAGAAAGTGTTATACAATTTTATATAATCCATTATACAAGATTACGTATACGTAATCTTGTATAATGGATTATATAAAATTGCGATATATTTATTGCAAAAAAAAAAAAAGAAAAAAAATTGTCTCATTCTTAGTTTGCGTGTGGTTCTTATTTGGTAAAAAGATTATATGTACAGCAGAAATCTGCAAATGCTCAAATGGCATGCGTTTCATATTTGAGTTAATTATCCCGCACAATACCCGCGGCACATGATGCAGAGGATCCAATTTACAAGGTCGAAATTGGGAGCTGCGCACCGATTTGGATCAATTTCAAATGTATAACGCGTGTAACATGCTATTGCCAATCACGGATCTAATTCGAAAATGATGCCGTCTCGCGATATCAATTTTGCATATTACAATACATGTCGTTCGCAGTGGCGCAAGCTCCGACACCGACTTCATTGCTGCTAATTGGAAACAGAACTGCGAGCCGATTTAAGTGATTGCTCGAAATTAAAACTGTCATTTCCATTGAGTCAGTGTCTAAATAGGTTTATTTCTCTTACCTGGAGAAAAGTTTTTCAATATTTTTTATTTTATTTTATTAAAAAATTTTTTTTTTAATAATTATTAAAATAGCAATCTAATTTTTACATTTATAATCCAAAACATTGTAAATCGGGATAAAAAATTTATATAATTCGGCATCTCAATGCACATGTAACAAAATATATTACACGGTGTGCAGAAAGTTCTATGACGCATCGGAGCTTCAATAATATTTTTAAAAGTACTCACCACCCACGCCTGCTCCGAAAGCAACGCCTACGGCGCAAAGAGTATTGTTGGCAGTGGCTGCGACTTCTCCGGCGCACCTGGTACCGTGTCGATTGCTATCTACTAGGTCGTACCTCGGCATGGGATCCTCGTCGTGACTGTTGACATCATAACTTGCCTGCGGATCCTGCGACAGAAATTGACAACCGCGTCTCTCAATTAAAATTTACACGCTCCATGATGCACCTCATTCGCTTTAATTAAGCGTAACGCTTCCGTCTCATCATGAGAATAAATGTTATATGTACCATTAAAAGACGAAAATACATGAAAATATAGTATACTCGATATGTAGTTGCTGGAGAAAATTTTCAAAAAAATTGAAAAAGAAATTTCTTTTTTTTTTATACTGTTTGACAAAAAAAATTGACATATTCCGATAAAATAATTCCAGGTCTACAAAATTTGACATGTGGATATCTTGTGACCGAATACACAAGAGATTAAACTGCCGCTAATAAACGCTTTAACACTTGTACTATCATTTCTTTATCTCCTCTTTCACTGTTGCACATATTTTATTAAGTGACTTGCTTTGTGATGCGACAATTTTGAGTTTCATCGAATAGCATATAAGAAAAGAAAGAAGCGCGTAATATAAATTGCCGCGACAACAAAATATCATCAAAGAGAATTATTACTTTAGTACTTCATCGCGCATATTTCCGAATATCTTAATACATTTGCGCATATCTGCGTAACGGGAAATGCTAGCTCGCGTAATCAGAGCAACGCGTTAAGGCGCAACCATCGTAGTGCGTGTCTACTGGCTGATTAATGCGATTCACTTTCTACAGCATGTTGCAGGTATCTCATTCAACGTAACCAACCGTGAATAGGTATGCGGCATATACACACGTGCCGGATAAATCCTTCCAATATTCGCGCTCAACAACCGATATCCCCAGTGCATCCGCGATACGCCGTCATCTACCATATTCCATTGTGCTGCATTCCACTTTGCCGAAGGTTTTTCCTCTAATTTTTTTAGCTTCAGCAAATATATTATACGTTATTAAATTCGTACATCGTGATATTAGGCAAATATTCAGCAATCGCATATTTTTAGTCATTCACGTAGATTTAATTAAACAGAAAGCTACTCTATAAAATTACCATGAAAAATTGCCAAATGCAACTTACTCAACCGTAAACTAGTGATTCCTTCGAGCATGCGTATTTTCGAAATGAAAAAATATATAGCTATCATTTTTAATATTGAAATAATGTGATTTTTTTTCCCGTTGTACAAAAAAAGATTATAAAAAATTTAAATATACTTTAATAAAACCTTAATGAAAGTATTACAATACGACGTTAAAATACTTACATAATTTTTAAAAAGGTCAGGATGATCCTTCTCCAATCCATCATCAAGAATTGTGACCACGACGCCATTTCCAGTAATTCCCTCGGCCCAGGCACCTTGTACGTTCATGTCCAACCCCTTTCCCCTATTCTAAAAAGAAAAATTATCTCCGATATCTTACTTCCGGCTGGTATTGCGGACCTTCGTCTGTGATATAAAAATGGCATCGTTTCTAAATCAATTTCAATACAATCGCGCTCGTTTATTTTTGTTCTTGTTATGCGTACTATACCTCTCTCAAAAATGTTACAATATAAAATACAGTTACATTGGCGTTAAAAATATACAATTATTGCTGAAGTAAACTCAAATCGTTGTACAAATTGATGCAAAATATTATGCAAAATATTATGCAAAATATATCTGATCTAAAATACATTTTCCAAAAATATCGTATTTGTTCTTCAATTATTTGACTGCATTGTTTATAAACAAAATCGACGCACTGTGATAAAATAAATTTTAGATCTGCGACATTTGGCTTTGCAAAATATTAGTTTGTAACATTTGAAACACAAATTTTCTTACAAAAATAATTCTTGCACTGCGACATTGTCATTTTTTCAACTCCTCATCAACATCGCACATGCAAAGTTGCAATTAACAGAAATATAAAGAATAACATGTTATTGATTAAAAGCGCTTACCAAATACCACATGTGAGGCCACTTCTCGTCGTTAAGCATGATTAGCATATTGGACGGATGTTTGTGGTTGTTTTTAAAATCCCTCTTGACGCGGTTTTTCACCCGCTGTTGTTCCGCTCGACGTACTCTGGAGTCTTTTATTAGCCTCTGATGCACTCCTAGATGCGGTTCCGTCGATCTCTTCGCCACGGATCGATGCTCCATGTGGAACCAATCATCGTTTATCTGCAACAATATTGTTTCGTATGAATACCGTGAAACTATCGCCGTGATTTTCGTTATTTCGAATCCGTTAGAAAAAAACGACTGACCGGGGATCCGGTTGTTCATTGATGCTCAATTAGAAGTCAACGATCGTGAATATTGCCGTGCAGCGATCGTTTCTCCGCTATTTGCCCGTGCTCTTTAATTGCATGCAATTTCAATGAAGGGAAAAGAAAAGAGTGCAGATACTGATGGATAGGTAGCAATTCTGAAGTCACTGGAGCAATGTAACAAGCCGCTTGTTGCGTTAAAGGCTTAGAAAATAGGGGGAAATGTTTCCCGGAAGAAATGAATATCATATATTACTGCCTGATGTATGTCGAATTACAGATTTCAATATCTTAAAAGTATTATAAACGCGTATAATAATTTACTCAATGCATACGTTGTATATTGAATAAGAACCGCTTTGGAGTTTTCTCAGAAGCAAGTTAACAAAACGTATATCAATTTTACGTAGCATTAATGTTACGGAAAACTATAAAAAGGACACAGACTCGCCGGGAGATTTGAAATATGCCACGGTCCCGCATTAATTATCGGAATTGGATTAACACGAACTCGCGTTTCCATTTTTTCTCATTATTCCCGACGGTGTAGACAAGATAAATGCTCGCTAAATCCCGAGTCGCGTTTATTAGGGCTACGGGATATATCATCCACCGACGGAAATGAAAATGTATACTGGACATAAAACAACGGCTGTTTGATGCGCAAGTTTGTTCCACCGGGTACAAAAATAAGGCTGCACGACGAGAGAGGGTGAGATAATGATAAACGTGAAAAGTTGGAAGCCAGCTGAGGACTTCTTTTGCATCCGTCTCCGGCCAGCCGAGGTACATTTTTTTCATTCTCATGCCTCTCTCCTGCGCTTTTATAATGCCGTCTTTGAATGTCTCTCGCATATATTTCACTTACAAAACCGTTACGTCGCTTTCTATTAATATGAACAAAATAGGTTACTTTTTACGAACAATTCTTTTCACACGACAAATTCTATTACAGAGATTATTAATGTCATTGCGCCTTTAGTAGGATTAATTGTTCAAGGGAAACTGTAGTAGAGAGATATTAGTTGAGTCTCGTTTTTTTCAATGAAGGAATTTTTTTCTCTATTGTGCGCATCTGCATATAAATAATTTATATACGCAGAATTCAAGTACGCATATCAACAGTTTCCAATTTTGTTTTTTGCAAATTGTTTGTTCGAAAAATGTAAATTATTAAAGAAGTGTAAAGTCTCAATTGTGACTTTATCGAGTATTGTTTTAATCTTTCTTTCGAAAATAATGAATTCACTACACATCATCTTTATCTAAATTATATTTTTAAGATGTCTATTAAAAGAATATTAATAATATATATATATGTATATATTATTTTTAGACGCTTTGCGTTAATTTCCTGAATATAATTCAACGTTCCACGAAATTGACGCAACCGCGGCAATTTACACGGAAGTGAACTAATGGCGATATTATTCCGTCGAACGGAATTCGCCCATCAATGTCCTCGCACGAGTTCTCAAATCGGATAAGCCCGCGGACTGAGCCATTCGTAATGAATCCAATCGATTGGGATCGGGGTCCCCCCGCATACGTGCGAGGACACATATCGAAGATGAACCCCGAAGCGCGCCGCTAAAGCGATTTAGCCGCGGATTCCAAACCGCGGTAGTGACATCGCGAATGGAAAGTTTGGAATGGAATTCGCAGGACCTCGTCCGCGATTCCAGAGTTCCCTGAATTTCGGTGGCAATTAGGACCGATGTTCAATGGACGATTCTCCGGCTGGCGAATTGGACGGCGAAGTTGCAAGTGAGAAGGACTGGGAATTAGTTCGGGCGAAGGGACGGCGCGATGGGAGCGATTGATTGTGACATTCGTGTTGTAACGCTGCGTTGTAACGCTGAGATAATCCCATAAATATGACGGATACGTCTGGAGCGGGGATGCTGACACGTGTGAAAATCGCGATGTCGATAAAGCTCCTCTCGTCGCGCACTTCAGCCGTTCGCAAACCGTACTAAGCAAATCGCACACGTTTGATACACACGTCCAAATTTCCGATGACTGCAACAGCAGTAAATCCAAGTATCGGTAAATCCAAAGAAATTCTCTTTTACCTGCGAAAAGTTATTCACACACAATTTATTAACCAGTTTCATCGATTGATTAATAGATACACATCTGCATCGCATCTAATAACATTTTGACATTTCGGAGATGCGATCTTGAATCTGACGAAAACGAAAAAAATCGATGGTAGAAATGGCGAAAAAGCATTGGCGAAAGTAACAAGATCAAAGTTCAGTTGCAAACACCATCCTGAAACTTTCAGCAAAAAATGTCGGCAGCTTTCTGGCGTAAGATAATTCCACGTTGGAGGTTTGCGCGGAGGAAAGTACGCATCAAAGAAGCGTAAAACCTTAACTCGTGCATTTTGTACAGAGATAGCGCTCCGATCCGCGTTATAATATTCATTAAGGCATCTGGCGTGTTTACTGGCGAATAAGCTCCCGGCAAGAGCAAATACAAATATTGCAAACGCGCCGGAATGTTTATATCTCTACCGTGAGTAACACGATTTCTCATCCAGGTGTCCACAAAGAGCTTGGTGTCGCGTTCGTTTAAGAGGCCGAGAATATTATTGCCGGAAGAGTTGGAGGATTTTATCAAAGAGGAATCCCACGCGTCCCGGAATTGCGAGATGGATATCATACCTGGATTTCTATCAAACAAAAAGTCGCAGGTGAAGCACGCGTTGAACGAGTTCCTAAAATTTCCGCGACAATTACTAGCGCCGCATATCGTTCTGAATTTTGTGACGTCGCCTAGAAATTTTAGTACGGCGGGAAATAATTCCATAACGTCTGACTGGCCATTTATGCAACGAAACGTTGACAGAGAAATAACTACGCGACTTAAGCGATGGAAGAGCGCGCAATCCAGCTGTGAGAAAGATAGCCAGAATTCGCAAGAATCCCGGAAATGTATCGAGGATCATCGACAATCCGCGGAATCCTGCAAAAAGGGACGCGAGAAGTGTAACAACGATAATCGAATATCCGCGGAAAGTTGTCGAAAGTCTGGCAGCGACTTACCGAGTCATCGAGAGCATTGCCGATCGATCGAATCCAGTACGCCGGTTCACTCGGACAAACCCGCACCGTACAACGATCGGCAAGCTTGCGAATCGACAAAGCGTGATTCTCGTAAAGCGACACGAATAACGTGCGAGAGCTGGACTCGCGGAAAACCAGCGACGGAAAAGAAGATTTATCACAAATGCAAGCCAAAGCCGTGCACTTATCCGCATAGCCGCAAGAAAACGATACCTTCCTCGTTATATTCGCCGGAAGATTGTAGCAAAGAAAAGCCGGCAGATTTGAAAAAAATATCAAAGCAAACCGCGACTGCTTTGTCCTGTCCTCAATCAAAATTGAAACCACCTTCGTGTACCAAGACAATTGGTACGTTGAGAAAAAATTAATACTGCAAATTCTGATCCTTTAAAAGTAAACAATAATAGAGAAAGCAATGAAAACTAGAAACACAGTCGTCGGAGTGAAAAAAACTATTTATTATAAATCAAGACAAAAATTTTTATGTATTAATTTATAATAGTTAATAATTTTTGCGTTTTTGGTTCTTATCGTCTCCTTTATTGAAAAGAATTTTTTATTGCAGAAAGCAAAAAGCCGAGCACATGTCCTGCGCCAAGTACAGAAGAGCATGAGCCCGATCCTCCACCACCGAGATATCCTCACTGGACCGAGAATCCGCCGTCTTACTGCGATCGTTACTCAAAAAAGACGACTTGCCCATCCTTTGTTAAATCCTCACCAATAATCTTTATTCCTAAGAAAGCACCGCAGAAGTCTCGGGCCAAAGATACTACGCCATCTTTTCAGAATATTCATAAAAATAAAAATGAATGCAGCAAGACGGACATCAAGACGAGAATATCACAATCGCGAAAAAGTTTAATGAGAACATGTATTCCTCGACGTGCAATCTCCTTCGAGGACAAATGCGCCGATTCTTTAACACTTCCTGCGCCCGTTGACAAAATGAAACAGGAAATTCAATGGTTTCCAACGTTAACAAAAGAGGGTCAATGTCGCGTCAAGAAGCCCGAAGAAAAGAAGTTTGTCATGTCGGACGTCGACGACTGCAAGCCCAATATAGCGAGCTACAAATATCGGTTAAGTAAGTGTCCTTGCTTAAGGGAGATACAGAATACCGATGTTGATCAGAAGTCACCCGTCGACGTTGGCATGCAGCAAAGGCAGGGCAATCCTTTGTCCCGCGACAAGGAGACAAATGAACTGGAATTACGAGAAACCGCGAAGAGAAAGAGAAAGAGGGTCAAGTTACGTAGTAAAATGCAACAGAAATACAAAGTTCGCCTGAAAACGCTCCAGAAGAGAGACAAACGGCTTGATCCTCGTCCTTCACGGATCGCCGAGCTGAGACAGTCACGCGACGGGAAGATGCGGTCGCCTCTGTCGAAACAGTTTAGATCTGTCACGGAGGAAGGCAAACTTTCCCCGCGATTGAGAAACCCGTGTTCCGATTATTGTCCACCCGAGCGGCCGGTTGTCGAGCATAAAAGTTATCCGACAAAGATGGACGAGAGCCGGGCGATTCACGGCCGAAGCCTGGAAAAATCGTCGCGCACGAAACGTCGCTGAACTTTTAGAAGCCATTGTGAGATGCGGAATGTCGGGAATTTGCGATATTCATCGATTCAGATAACATCAACTTTAAAAACATATAAAACAATCGCTCACTTTAAATTTCAGATACAAATAAAAATGTTGATTTTTCGTAATTCAAATAAATTTCCACGAATATTTCTTTATTTTAATATCAGACAAATGCAACAATCAATTCTTATCATAAAAAATTTTAAACATTAGGAAAATATAAACTGCTAATTGTAATTATGCATGATTT